TTCCCTTTGGGCAATGACAGAATTCATCCACGACGATGCTTTTAAGCTTGTTGCAAGTTTTATGGCACCTGGCCTGTCCCATTTTGATGCCAGGGTAGCTTACCACTGCTCTGGGTCCATCCAGTCCCTTCATCGGGACCCTGCTTCGGGTTGCTAGGTCCAGTAAATATTATTCAGTCAATTAATTCCCAAGTTGTAAAAGCATAGCATTAACTGTCTTCCTGTGTCTACAAAAGGGACATTGCTCTAAAGTAAACTATGCAAATGACATAAAATAGAACAGCCATATTTCACTTAGAAATCCAGAGATCTCTGAAGAACTTGACTTTACAAGTCACAGGTTCTGGTTAGGGGAAATGAGTGATTAACAGATAGGGGAAGCAGAATACAAAAGGAGAAGTTAAAGATGAATACGGAGGAAATGGGAGTGCTTTGGGAGCATTGTGATGGGTATTACTCAGTAAACCTGAACTCCTTTCCTTGGAGGAAATGGCAAACCAATGTTAAACCTAAAATGTTTAGAATTGTAATCCAACACTTGGAAACCAGATGGTTTCACACCACGGTCCCAACCAAGGATGAATGCTAGGCAAGTGCCTTAACCTTTGGCTTATTCTCTCTCCAGCCCATTTGAAGGGCTATGGTACAGATGAGGAAAGGGCTTTCATTTGTTCCTTGAAGGCTTTCTTCTGGGGTCTGGAGAGATAGGACCAGGGTTAAGGTGCGTGCCTTCTTGTCCCCTACCCCTGTTCTATCCCTGGCACCATACATGATCTCATGAGCATGCTAAGAGCAAAGAGCCATGAGGACTGACAGGTGTGGCCCCGAAACAAAAGAACAACTTCCTTCTGAGTTAGTGCCTGTTTGTAGACGCAAACGTGGCAAGAGGAGTAGCTGTAGCCAAACAGAACTTCGAGGGAATGTAGTATCTTGAAACAGTAAGTGGAGAAATTTGCACCTCTAGTCTTTGATCTTAGTTTGGCCTTTCTTATTTATTTAATAGATTAATTTTTGGTTTGGAGACCACACCATCAACGCTCAGAAATGCAGTGTGTGGGACACAGCCAGGGTTGACTGTTTGCAGGCGAGCCCCTTCCATACTATCTCTCCTCACTGTAGCCTTTTAGAAACTGTTACACAGGAAGAGAACAGTGTTACAAAACACAACATTCTTACAGGTCTATACTTAACTGTTATTCAGAGGGTGCTTTGCTCCAGATTCAGATGTTTAGAATGTGGGCTGGAGCGGTCATTAGTTTGCTTGCCTTGCATGTGGCCCACCCAGGTTCAATCACTGACACCATGTCATATTCCCCGGGACTAAGTCCTGAGCACAGTTGGGTGTGACCCAAAAGCATACGGACATTATGACCCAACAGGTGTTAATCAGAATGTCATCTGAGTGTTTTATGAAGAGCTTTGTTTTCTTTCCTGTAGGAGGGATGGGATTGCTCAGGGGGCTATTCCTGGCTCTCTGCTCGGGAGTGTCCCCTGGTGGGTGGTCTTGTGAATGTATGTGGTGACAGGGATCAAACCAGCAAGCTCCTTAACATGCCCTGCACGGTCTCTTGCAGCTCAGCTCCATTTTTCTTCTTTTTTATTTTTAATTTTTTTAAAAAATTAAATCATGATGAGATACACAGTCACAAAGTTGTCCGTGATTGGGTTTCAGTCATACAGTGTTCCAACACCCCTCCCTTCATCAGTGTACATTTCCCACCACCAGTGTCCCCGGTCATCCTCTTTCTATCCCCCACCCTCAGTGATACTCCATTTCTCCTGTTGACAGATGAGGGTCAGCCACTTCCTAAATTAACAAGTTGCTTAACTCTTTTTGAGATAATCATATTTTCATTACCGCGTGAGGATAGTAATAGTGTCCACGTATGCAATTATGAGAATTACTTGACACAATACGAAGTCTCAAAGTGCTTAGTGAAATTGTATCAGTGACCAACAAAAGGTGCCCTTTTTCCCCTCTTCATTGAAACACGTTGTTGACAAAGTTGTTCGTGGTGCTTTGTTATAGGCATTCAATATTCTAACACCTTCCTCCACCACCGTCTCCATTTTCCCATTTCTCAATCTTGCCCTCATAGCACAATAATTGTCTGTTATCATTAAGTGGCTAATGGAATCATCAAAACGTATTTTAGTAGATGAAAATTTGTGAGAATTGTGAGTCTCTTGAGCAAGGCAGCAGCGGGATGTGGGTATTAAAAGGTGTCATTCTTGCAGATACTGATTCATTATGGCTTTTAGAAGTCTTTCCTAATAGAGTTCTGATTTTTGTTTCAATGTCTGCATAATAGAATATTTATGCTGGAGCGATAGCACAGCGGTAGGGCGTTCGCCTTACAAGCGGCCAACATGGCCGACCCGAGTTCGATTCCTCCGCCCCTCTCGGAGAGCCCGGCAAGCTACCGAGAGTATTCGATATGCCAGACACAGTAACAACAAAGTCTCCAATGGAGACGTTACTGGGCCCGCTCGAGCAAATCGACGATCAACGGGAGGGCCTTTACCTTACCTTTACCTTTACCCTACAAGCAATCATGACTTCCTATCAGTATTTATGCTCCATTTCTAAGTTATTTCAGCTATTCAAGTCCAAAGTCTAAGAAATTCCATCCCAGACACAGTGCTGCTGTTATGCCATTCATTTTGCCTCTTTGATCTTTTCTGGATTGGTGTTTAAATTCACTGTTTGCTCCAGTGATTACCTTGCACTTCCTTTGTGTTACTTTGTTTTGTTTGGGGACCCAACCAGCAGTGCTCAGGACTTACTCTTCGCTCAGTGCTCAAGGGACCATATGTCGTACTGGGCCAAACTCTGGTTTTATAGAGTTATCTTAGTTAAGCTTCTCTTTGCAGATAATAGAAACTTTCTTAAATTAGCCAAAGGAAAGAAAAAGTGTTTTATTGCCAGAACACAGGTTTGATGGTTTGTCAGTTTGCTTTCAGAAGGCTCATCGACACCGTAGGAGAGCCTGTGAGGAGCCAGAGAGCTGGCACCACTGCGCACGGCCAACCCGGGTTCAATATATGGCACTTCATCACAGTCCTCTAAGCACAGAGCCAGGAGTAAGCCCTGAGCACTGCGAGATGGGGCCCAGAACTTAATACATAAAAGCTACCACAGACTACGTGGTTTAACACAATAGAAATTAATTTTCCCATAGTTCTGAGCCAAAACTCCAAAAGCCCACGTCCCAGCAGCAGTGAGGATGTGGCTGGAGCTGGGCTTCCTCCAGCGCTCCCAGGGGAGACGCTTTTCCTTGCCCCTTCAGCTCCTAGGAGCTTTCCAGTATTCTTTGGCTCGAAGCTACCTCTGCCTCTGGCATCACATTAGGGTTAGGACAGGTGGTGTGCGTGTGTGTGTGTGTGTGTGTGTGTGTGTGTGTGTATTTCCATTTCCGTGGCCATCTGTCTTTGGGAGGAGAGACTTTGCTCTAAGGACTCTTCTTGGGAGCCCTGGCAGTGCTCAGATGGGGACCTTACCTCCAGCACTCTCTCCAGCCCCCCTCCAGGTCCTCATGTTGATGCCATCAACAAAGACCCTTTTTCCTTACAAGATAACATTTACAGGCTTCAGGGACTAGGACCTGATTCCTCTGGGAATTCCTAGTAGGGGTCCCAAAGAGATATTTTAACACTAGCCTATAATGAAGCCTTCCTTCCGCTTCCCTTCTCTGTGTGCCACCATGACCCTCCTTCAACGTTGTCTATAACTGTTTTCTTCCCAGGCATATAATTCACACATAAAATTAAGGCTGGACTGTTAAGATAATGATAATGGAAACAATAGTTCTCATTTTTTTAAATGTCCTGGTGGCCCAGTCATTGTAGTGAGTACGTTACCAGTGGCTTGTAGGTACCATATCATCCCCATCAAACAGATGAGAGGCACTAAGAGAGGTGAAGCAACTTAATTTGCTTGGATTCGCCCAGTTAAGTGTCAGAACTGGCATTCAAATAAAGGTATCTTCATCCTGAGGGTGATGCTCGTAATCGTTGCCCTTTGCTTATAACTCTGGAATTTGTTGGAAATCTGGTTTTCTGCCTTGTCTCTAATCAGAATCTTTGGTGGAAGTTTCTTGCATTTGCTAGGCAGACTGACATCCTAGTTCAGCAGAGTGCTCTCTGTCACATGCTTGTTCTTGTTCCCGAGCCAGTGGAATCTGAAGGAAGCAGAAGCAGAGAGCTCTATTCCTGCCTCGGTTTCCCTTTGGACTACCTTGTTTGATCCTAGGAAGGCCGTGATTGCCCTTACTGTGGAGATCATGGCAATTTATTTCTGTTTGCCCCGTACCTCTTACAGGGCTTGGACTCAGGACTCCAAGCAGCTATTCTACCAATATATTTTTCCTTGAGGGACTTTGCAGTCATTGTGCTGGAGATCAAATCTCGAACCTCCCACATGCAAGGCAAATGTTCTGCAACTCACCACCATCCCCACCTCACCCAGTCAGGGACTTAGAGTCGCTGCTGTTCTGTGTCTTAGAGCGGTGTCTGGAATAGAATAGTGGCTCAGCATATCTGTTGTGTTGACAGCTGACTGACTTAGCCAGGCATAGTGTAAGCTTCACTTCGTTACCAATTTACAACTGTAATTTAGGACCGTGTGCCATATAGCGGACACTTAGATTGTCACTAATCCTCACTACCTTCCTGCAGCACAGAGGTGGTATGACTGTGGCTGAAGAAAGAAGGGAAGGGAGCCAGAAGTCAGAGGCACCTCCTAGATTTCTGACTCGGACGCTGGTCCCAGTGCTGATGAACCCATGGGGAAGAGCAGTAGCAGTCGTCACTCTAACAGAAGTTCTGTGTCTGGTATCGTCCCACAGGTGCAAGGACCTGTTCTCCGGACAGGAGCTACAAAAGAACCCTTTGGCCTGGGGAGGCTGATATTCTCCATCTCCCCAGAGCTGGGCTGCTTCTTTTAGAACTTGAGGTTTATAACCGTTATCTCTATCGTGTTCTAACTTGAATATGTTCAGTTTCTGTTCCAGATGATCGGGCTGAACAACGCACCTGCCTCATTTGTGGGGACCGCGCCACAGGCTTGCACTATGGAATCATCTCCTGTGAGGGCTGCAAAGGGTTTTTTAAGAGGAGCATTTGCAACAAGCGGGTATACCGGTGCAGTCGTGACAAGAACTGTGTCATGTCTCGGAAGCAGAGGAACAGGTGCCAGTATTGCCGCCTTCTCAAATGCCTCCAGATGGGGATGAATCGGAAGGGTGAGTAGTGCTCGGTCCCCGACCACCCACCTTTCTATTTGAGTGTCAGTAGAGTAAAGGCAGTTTTTTCCCATTCCAGGCTGTGTACTGTGTACTCACAACCCCAAAATCTGTCACAGTTCCTGCCTCTAGTGGTCTCTTTGGTTTATCGGGGAGAAAGACTGGTGAGCTGATAAGGCTTCGTGGGAGTAAATGCATAGGCTTCGTGCAGCAGAGCCCCAGTAAACAATCAGATCCGGGCTGGAGAGAGCTCAGTGTGCTGAATGCATGCTTGGAATGCGGGACACCCGGGCTCAGTCCCTCGCGCTGCCTGGTCCCATGGACACTGCCGGGAGCTTCCCCCAAGCAGTTAGTCTACCATGGTCCCTGAGTGCCACCAGGTGTGGCCCAAAAACCAAAAGAAAAGCTTAGGGAGATTAATATATTCTGCATGGTGTTAGAGAGCATCATGACAGGTAGGAATTTTATTTTATTTTATTTTATTTATTTTTTTAATGTAGGAGTACTGCTATTTATTCAGCCAGGTAGGAATTTTAGATGAAAAGTCAGGAATGCACACATTTCCTCAGGGGGGCATCATTTTGTTTGCTCCAATCCAAGCACCCTCAGAGGCGGGGCATATCCAGAAACATGCATCCAAGTTGATGAGGGTTTGTGATTTATTGGAAAAAATCTCTGAAAACCATTAGGCTAAGGTAGAGTAGGACAGTGTTGCAGCTGAGATCAGAAAATCCAGAAGACAGATTTGGAGAATGGATACTTAGGGAGGAAAAGAGGAAAAGCCCACCTAGAATGTACAAAGAAAAGAGAGGATGCATCTGAAGCAGAAAGGGAAATTGCGCAGGTGTGAATGCATGGAAACTCAGAGAAGTTAATGACATCCTGGGTGTTGGGCGGCACAGCAAGTTGAAGATTGAGATTAAAATTGCAGGTACTTCTAGGAGACTCAGCACTGACTCTCCAAGCCCACAAACTGAACATAAGGAATTGGAGCTGAGGTGGGAAGTCCTGCCTGCAGTTAAGTTTGTGGAGGTGTGGCCAGAGGGAGTCGGTAGCAACCATAGAACTTTGTGAATGGCTAGAGTTCCTGTGGAGGGAGCCTTTGGGATATAGAAGAGACGTGGGAGAAAGAGGGCAGGGCCATTGCCAGACCCCTAGGAGTCAGAGCAGGAGACTGCAAGGGAACAGGCCAGCTGTGCAGTTTAGGCAGTTTGCTTTGTCTCTGATGTGGAAAGGTCTTACCTTTACAATGGGATAACACAGTGGTAGGGCGTTTGCCTTGCGCGCAGCCAGCCCAGCCAAGTCGGATTCGATTCTTCCGCCCCTCTCGGACAGTCTGAGAAGCTACCCGTTACGTGTTCAATATGCCAAACACAGTAACAAGTCTCAAAATGGAGACGTTACTGGGCCCGCTCGAGCAAATCGATGAACAGCGGAAGGACAGTGTTGCAGTGCTACAATGGGAAATACAGAGGTTAAAGCACTTGACATGCTTGCAGCCAACCCTGGGTCGATTCCTGCCACATCATTCTCCAAGCATCGTCACGCTCAGCCCTAGGAAACCCTTTACTTAGAACCCCTTACTTAGGTATGACCCTGGCAGCACCCTCTCCCAGCTCCAGAGGTGCCTGGTTCATTACTGACCCCTCCCCCACCCCAGGGTCTGTATAGCACCACATCCTTGTGTCCTTACGTTGACCTCCTGCTTGTTTGCCCCAGAATCACCTGGAAGGGTCATCAGCCCTCCTCAGCCTTGGGAGGCACTCCCTCCCCACACAGGTGATAAATGATCCTTTACCTTCCAGAATTTTCTAAAGGATCTAAATATGACAGTGTAAGGTTTAAGCATATGTTCTGTGCAGGGCTGGTGGGATTGTCAGATTTATAAGCTGTTCAAGTTGGTTTTGTAGCATTCATGAATGCATACATCCAATATGCTTCAGACTGCATTAAAACTTTCCTTTTGGAAGGGGGCCCTTATCTGGGGGGTCTGAGGGGGGTTCAGGCCACAACCTTCAGTGCTGGGGAGAGGCACATGATGGTGCAGGGCATATTCTGGACCTCTTGAGCCATATGCTGCCCCCAGACTCTGTGTGAAAAGTTAAAATAGATGTTACGGTAGATTTACCAATAGTGTACTGGTGGCCATGTTGCCAGTTAATAATTATTCAACTGTAAGGTGTTATTCATCTGTCAGAACTTGTACTAGACCACATGGACAGGCCTCTTCCCATGTCTAGCGTGTGGCATGTTGGTTGTCCTCTGAATGTCAGACACCTTAATAGGGCATTCAGCTTTTAGCAACTTTGTCCCCTGTCTTTCTCACCTCATTCTCTGCTCAGACCTTACTTCCTATGCCTCAGACTTGCCTCAGGTTTTTTCCTGTGCCTGGAAATCCTCTCCCTCCTGGGTTTGTGCTCAGGGGGTCACTGCTGGTGGTGATCAGGGGACCATAAGTGACCATAAAGAGTGCCATAAGCAAGCGCCTTGTCTGTCAAAGCATATTTTATACATTGCCTTCTTGAATACTCACTCTGGTGAATTATCCAGCTTCTCCAATTGGAGTTGGAGAGTCAGAGACCTCTAATAAACACACCTGTTTCTGGGAAGAAAAGGCTCACCCTCATATCCTCTCTGCCACTGACAGAAACTGCGAGGTGGCCCAGAAGGGTTAGAGAGCTCCCTCGTAGTTCATTTGCACAGCCGACTTGGTTTGTCATGAGAGGCACCGCTCAGAGGGGAATCCTGCCATCTTCTGGTTGGTACCAAGAAAGCAAAATTGAATTTGCTGTTGGCATTAAAATATTTTTGGCATGATGGAACTTTCTGTTCTACATAGAATAGCTGTATAAATACAACAAAGAATATATGTATGAGTATATAGAGTATGAGTATATAGAATATATACCTGAATAAAATATGACTATTCTGTATGGAATTGCTGTAACTATTCTATTAGCTCATGAGTCCAGCACATAACTCTGTGCATTTTCAAAACCTGTTCATCAAAATAAGTCACTTTTACTTTTCATACAAGCCAGTATGTGGGAGTTGGGGGTGGGAGGAGGCGGAGTGGCATGCAAACTGTGACAAATCCACCAGAAATAAATCACGTAGCCACAATGAAGGGAGAGAGGGGAAGGAGCTGACCTTGGAAAACAATGATTTGACTGTATTGTTCGGCTGAAGACAAAAAGAACACATACAAACGAAGCACTCTGTTTGTAAATTCATTTCTCTGGGGGCTATAGGCTAGGAATCCTGTCACTCTATTTGTATACTAGAGTTGCAGATGAGAGTCAAGTTTCTTGTATCAGAGAGGTTATGAATCCAGGAAAAAGGAACACTTGATTGAAACCTCCAGTGCTAGATTGAATTCAGAGATACCAATGTGGACTCTGTTTAGATAGGCAGACAGAAAATAGAGATATATGTGTGCGTACGAGTTCGTAGGTACAGATATTTCCTAGCCTCAATCATTGAGAGGAGCTTGAAACAGGGACATGCCAATGGCAGCGAACACATCTGGTGACCCAAATTCCATTTTCTGTTAGTAAAGAGAATCAAAGCACCATGGAGAACTGGTTAATTATAGGACTGAGGCAGGACCTTGAGTGTCTTAGTGCTAGAAAGTTAAAATGCACTATTTTTCTTTAATGGGGTTGAGGGGAGACAGGAAATGGAAATACTAATAAGGCATAGAAGCTCACCTGAAAAAAACTTCTAATGGCTAGAGTTGGCTGTAAAATAACCTTATATACATCTGTAACCCAAATAATAAAATATCCTTTCGTTCATACTGATAGAAATAATTGAATAGAGAAATGATGAGTTTCCTTATTGAAAAATTCTAATGAATATAAGAGGAAGTAAAGAAAATAGAAAATCACCATGGTAATAATTGCTGCAGATAAGATGCACTTGTGGATGTTAAAATAAGAGAGCAGAGGTTTGAACATAAATAGTATTTGCGTAGTCTCGAAATATTTTGAAATTACAAAGGGAAAAATAATTTCAGTAGAGAATTCTGGCAGCTACCCAAAAAGATCAAGGTTAATGCTGCGACTGAAACCCTGACATCATGTCCCCTGGGTGGGCTACCAAGAAGGCCCCTTTACGCATACACTTTCACAGGGAGAGATTTGTGTTCTGTCTCATCGTGAGGAAACATACAAGCCCAAATTGAGAGACATTCTTCAAAGTAGCTGACATTCTCTGAAGAGTCCCCCAAAGTGTCAAGGACACACAAGACAAGGAAAGACTGAAAGTGTCGCTGATGGGAGGAGCCTACTTGTGCACCAGCAGTGCAATTTATCTAATCTATCTCTTTCTTTCTTTCTTTCTTTCTTTCTTTCTTTCTTTCTTTCTTTCTTTCTTTCTTTCTTTCTTTGCATCTGCCTTTTATGGCTAGAGCTTCCCTCCTTCCTATGAGCCAGCCCTCTGCTATTCTCTTGTCTCTGGATACGGATGCCTTTTCCATCTTGGAAGTGGACTGTTGAGGAAATAAATTAGCAGGGCAGTGAGAGATCTAAGTAAGGGTGGGCTTTATATGTTCACCCTCAATAGTGCCCAGTTATCTGTCAGACACATAATCATCTTGCAGCCCACAGGATAAATTGGTCTCTGTTTTCTGGTTTTCTTGTTTGTTTGTTTCTTGTTTTTCTTTTTTGGTTTTTGGGTGTGCTTAGGGATCACTTCTGGCAGGCTCAGGGTACCATGTAGGGTGCTGGGGATCAAACCTGGGTCAGCTGTGTGCAAGGCAAGCACCCTTCCCACTGTATTATCGTAAGGCAGGTACCTTTTAACCCCCTGCACCCTCTCCAGATGATTTTTAAGACCTGTTGGCTTTGACATCAGCCTCTTCATTCCTTCGCTTTTCTGTCTGCTGCTCTGCACACAATCCATATTTCATCCTAGTGCTCTAAAGATTTCTACATGTGGTTTCATCTTCCTGGAATGTTTCATCTGACTCTAGATACTTTTTCCCCCATGTAAGTTTT